GGAACACGGAACCACTTGGTGATTTTCAGCCAGGTGTACTGGAGTCTGACAAACACAGAACTAATTATGAAGCTCGCCTTGCTCTACTGCTGCGTTTGTAATTTGTTTCTCCATTTTGCTACAATCTTGATATTCATCATCATGTATGCTAAAAATTTTAAGTCTTCTGCCTCATCCAAATTGAAATAGTCTTTCATCTAATGTACTTTATATCTCATCAGACACAGCACGTAGACAAAACTGTCTTACAGGGAGAAGTAGCAGTACTAACACACGAATCTGTTCTAACTTCTTTCATTAACCACCGTAAGATCAGGGTAATGAACATGAGGATGCGGTTCCGAGCCGCACGCAGGGGCCGCGCAGGCGCTCGGCCGGGCTCGCGGGGCACCGGGACACGCACCGGCCCGAGCTGCCCGCGCCACGGCCGGAGCAGCGCGTGCAGGAACGGCCACCGCGACGGCGGCGCCGGGAGCCTGCAGGGAACGCTCCTGCAGTCGGAGCACGAGGAAAGCATCGGGTCTGCTCTAGGCAACACTGCAAGCACAGTGTTAGAAACTCAATCATTCTTATTTCTAGTTTTACTTAAGCTGAAAGCGTGTGATTTCATTGCAGACATGGCAGAGCCCATCCAGCAGCTGACGAGAAACAACAGCCCCCAGGAGAGACAGAGCGTCCCCTTCACGGTGCTGCAGCGCAAGGAGAAGGTGAGGGCTGCGCTGCCCCGCGCTCGCAGGGCCGCCCTCCTCCGGGAGGGGATCGTTATCCCTCGGGATCTGGAGGGCTACAGACGGAGAGCGGCAGGAAAGGCACAAGTTGGGCAGGAATTACGGTTTTTGTGATGATTTTAGAATTAATTTAACAAATGGAACTCATTTTGACATTTCACATAAAATGCTTGTTTTCATCACTAAAATCAACATACTTGCTGCATTATATAGTCATGCTAATTAACGTGCAACAAAGCATAGAGATCAACATCTCAATTTAAACCCAAATTTGCCCTTTTGTACCGTGGATCATCATTAAACAAAGTGCAGTTATCAAAGGCATCGTATCCTCTAATAAAAACCTGGAGTCCTGTCCTCCAGGCCGTTTACAGCTCCGAGTGCACTGCCAACACTCAGCCTTGCAGGAACGACAAACACTAACCGGGCAGGAAGGTCTCCTGTCGCACCAAGTAACCCACATAATTCAAATCTGCCAATACCTCTGTTGCAGCTGGGCCTTTTATACAAAAGGTTTGGGACTCTTAACTCAATTTTGCTCCAATAAGACACAGAATAATGAAGATAAAGATAGGAACTGCTTGGAAATATTTTCTCAGTAGTATTGTAAGTGATAAAAATGAGGTTTTGCAGTGTTATTTTCAACTAATTATTTAATACTGAAACTGTAAAAGCTGACAGTTCCTTACTTTTCAAGGAAAACTACATACAGAGTCTGCTGAATATTTTTGACTAAGGTTGGCAGCATGTCCTTTCTTCATTTACACAAGGAGGACTACCACATTCAAGATCATTTCACTGACAGCTGAAAAAAGAGGCAGCTGTTTCATATTCAAGATGCATACACACAAATTTTGCATTGTTTGTGTATATCTACACATTATATGCCAATCTGGACCTTGAAATCAAGTACTTGCAAAACTCACTATACTGCGAACTAAATAGTAAACAGAACACACATAAGCTGTAGCTGACACAAGCTTAAAGCCATTCCTCTTGCTTGCCATCCTTTGCATTCAGACAAGCTGATTTCTGTATGTTTTGAGCACAGCACTGAAATCCCGGGTAAAGCTTTGTGTTTTAAAGTGATTATCTTAAAATCTAAAATTCTCCTGTTGTGTCTGCAGCTTGGAGATCTGCTTTATGAAAAACGTCAGTATGGAAAAGCCAAGTGGGCTTGTATAAAAATGAAAGAAAAACAGTACGAACAGAGCATATGCCTGGGATTCATGAAGCTGATGAGGTACATTTGTGAGCAGAACTCCTCAGGTAACTGGCTACCATGATTCTACACTATAATTAAAATACGATCGTATTTGTGCACCAGCTGCTCTTAATTACAGGGATATTTTTATTAACCTTTTCCAAATATACCACCCTCTCCATATTAACCCTTTCCTGCAAAATGACCTTTCCACTTGAATTTAAAATGAAGTGAGTCTCTTTCTGCATGTGCATTAGAAGAGCAAGGGATCTAAAGAAACCTAAAGATCTGAACTGAACTGATTTCCAAAGGCTTTCTGACCACGGCAACTGCTTAGGAACTAAGATGGGCTATTTTTGCAAAGTTTGAGCTTTGCAAAGTAGTGTTTTTTTTCATAGAGGTGTAGTAATTTGATTTTTACAACAGTATTTAAGAAGCCTGATCTAAGCACTCATTCAGTGTTTGATGCTAGAAGAGATGGTACCACCTCGCCTCCCTGATTTTTAGCTTGTAATACTTAATTTGTGCATGTTTGAACGGACACCAAAACCTTGTATGAGTGGCACATTTTCCCAAAGGACAATCTATTGTAAGTGAAATACTTTAGGAATATCCACCATATTCTTGGTTGTGCCTGCATCAAAAACATGTAACTAGCTTCCAACCTAAAGTCAGCTGGTTTCAAATCAGTTCTTGTTTCCGACATTCTCCAGGGGATTAAGGGGTACTGCAATATTTTGCAGTCCCTTGTTCTGTAAAGGTACTTATGTGTTATCAAGTGAAACTTCATGGGTTTTTTTTCCAAGCTAGAAGGATCTCAACTTTTCTCCTCCATCGGGTACTTTCCCCACTCTCTCCATTCTGTTAACATTTTTAACATGGCTTAAAAATCATTTTGTCCCTGGAGCAGTGCAGTTTTGTTTCTGCTCTGCGTCCCGGAGCTAAGTTCTCACTTCAAATCAGCCCTGCAATTTGTCCAGTCAAAATCATAACCTTTTCCCGCAGCACTGCGCACGCATGGCAGGGTTCAACAAGCTGCCAGCGAGGCCACGAGGCAGCCGCTTGCCTGGCAGAGATAACCCAACAGCCAAGTGAGGTACCTGCAGTCTGCAAGCACAGGCCTCCGAGGAGGGCAGCATCAGTTAGCAAGAGAAACTCCACGTGGGAGAGCTCCCCAAGGACTGCACTTCACACAGATGTGCACACAGATTTGCACACATGCACATCACAGAATCATTGAGGTTGGAAGGGACCTCCAGAGATCGTCTAGTCCAACCCCTCTGCACACGCAGGGTCACCTACAGCACATGGCACATGCAGCTTTTATATAAATGTATGTAACACATGTGCACACTACAAGACATAGTAAAGTTCCTTCCAGCTTGGGATACACAAAGACATTTTCTGAACCATTTTTTCCTGCTGAAGGCCACCTAGCAAGGGGAGCCTTTCTGTTATTCCGTATTTGCTCAGAAGGCGAGCAGCAGCCTCCTGTGGCATTCCTAACAGCCGTGTGTCTCCTCAGGCCTGTACCTGGGGATAACGATCCCCATCGTGACCATCGTGCACACGGACGAGTCTCGCTCGGCGGTGACGCGCGCGGTGACGGTGGCGTACTACCTGCCCGAGGCGCTGCAGGAGGAGCCGCCGCAGCCCTTCGACCACGACATCGTCATCGAGGAGTGGCCTTCCACTATCGTGTACAGCAGGTAAGGAGCGCTGGCCTTGTGCTCTATAGTAACTATGGGAAAATGCAGTTACGAATCCTGCAAGCTAACAGTAACAGATTTGCAGAAACTGTTGAAAGCCGATTGCCCTGTGAAACTGGGACATTCAGGAAATAACAGTCACCAGTTCACTGGAGGAAATAATGCGTCTGTAAATGAGAGATGTAACAGCATCTCAAAACAGAGTGTTGCAGGGAGCGGTGAGCAGAGCCTGACATAACGTTTTGTATTAACTCAGCATCTGCAGTGCTAGCTGAGATAAATCAGACGGAGTATCATTTGTGAGCTATGACTAAGTAAGAGGAGGAGGAGCCTTGAGGCTCTAAGAAATGTGGCTTTTAACTAGAATTGATATAAAGTTGGTTGTTACAGGAGCTTCAGAGGAATCACCAATGAGGACTCCATAATGAGGGAAATAAACCTGCTGGCAGAAATTCTGGAGAGTCCCGAGCTGTGTTTGCAGGATACATTCATCATTGCGGGATATACAAACCCAGCTGCTGCTAACCGGATCAATGAAATATGGTTCCTCCAAAGACCATAGCCTCCCTTTCCTGCTGCCTTTCAAGTACAAGATTTGGGTCTGACTTCGTGACTGGATATTGCAAGTGAATCATGTGAGACTAGAGTACAAACACTCAAAGAAAAGTGGCTTTTAGCAAGACAATCAGCATAGGTTAGTAAGTGTATAGAAGTAACACCTGAAGCATACACTAAATTCCTAAGTCAAATTTTACATTTTTTAAATAATTGCTATGGAAATTTTTAACACCTTAAAAGAATATGGTTAACTCATGTGAAACAAGATAAGGAGATAGAGACCTCTCCCCGTACCCACTTAGTAGCATCCCCAAACTGCCTGTGGCTTGGGACTGTCCTGTGGGAGATCCCGGAGCGGTGGCCTGCAGCAGGCAGTGCTGCAGCAGCTGCAGAAAGGACAGTCACAGTCACAGTCACAGTAGGGGCTTTACATGGGAGTCACATTAAAACCATCCCTGTGTAGACTATGCATCAGAAAAAGAACTTTCAGATATTCATTTTTTGAAGCAAATTGCCAGGTTTAGGCCACTGTGATTAAGCCAAGGAGAAAAACTAGGCCAATGCTGACTGGTTTTGATATTATAACCCATGGAGCACATATTCTTAACGCTTACCTCAAAAAGCATTTAACCAAAGTATCTTTTTTAGCCATGAGAAGAGACCTGGAAGTCAGAACAGTCCTAATGCTCATTAAACTTTGTTAGCCCAAGTTAAGGTATAGCTTAACGACCCCCTCACAGCAACCTCACGGCTGTCCGCGGCGTCCACCACCAGCCCTCCCGGGCGCCCTGCTCCGCTCTCCCCGCTCTGCTGCGCGCTCCTCTGCGGCGGCTGCAGCGATCTGTCAGCTCCTGGTTCTGCCCGACGTTTTTCCCAGCAGCGCTACATAACTAAGGTCAGGAGCAGGACAAGTCTTTCCCAAGCCACGCGTGCTGGGTTAGCAGCACCGCGAGGCGCCAGCGGCCCCGGGGCTCTGCTGAGGAAAGGCCCCCCGGGGCGGCAGGGCGGGCGGCCCGGCCCAGCCCGGCGCATGGGGAGCGTCCTCCAGGAGGGGGATTCCCAGGCCCCTCCCGGCCACATTCCAACATTTGACCACTCTCACTGGGAGAATCATTTTTCTAGCACCGAATTTTTAGTGTTGAAACTTGCTTTCTTCACCCTTCATCCATGTGGCATATGGTAAATCTTCAAGTTGGAAAAATGCTAGCCTAGCATGCTGTTACCCAAAGAAAAGCCTGTATAATTCTAGATGCATCAAAAGTGTGAAAGCACTTTTGTGTGCAAGCTTGACTGCATATTACAATTAAAGAACACCTAAAGAACTTTAAACACAGATTATTAAATAACTTGGTTCTTAGAAATCCCTTCTTAACCTCTCCACTTATAGATCTGACAGTAGAATCTTATCACATTATTTAAATACAATTAAATTAGTTTATAAAGTTTCAAGAATTTTATCACCAGCATTATTTATCAACTGCAAGAAAAAAACAAAAACAGAACCAGTATCTGCTAGTGCCCAGTCCTATTAATTGGCAAACAAAAGGGGTTTATACAGTACTTCTGGAAAGAAGTACAGATCAAGGCCTTTAAGCCTCCTGGCTCCACAAGGCTTTCTGCACAAAGCCCACCTTATTCTGCAAACTAAAACCTCTTACCGTGAAGCTCAAGCACACAAACACAGGCTGGAAGCTGGCGCGCTGATCACACCTACGCGTGGTCCAGGTGCCCTCTAGTGGTTCCTGCCCTCCGAGGTTTGTGGACAAGGAACAAGGAATCCTCATTCCTTCCTCCCAAAACTCTCATTTCTCCAGCTCTTCAGACACCCTGTGCTGGTTCAACAAACATTTGCATTGCCAAAAATGAACCGGCTTCTCTAACCGACCTCACCAGGAGGAAGGGGAGAGGAATCCCCACAGACGGTTGTTGGCTGTTTTCTTGCCCCCAAAGCTGTCTGCTCTACTTGGTTTGCTGGGGGCAACAAAAGTGCTCGTGTCAGCTGTAGCCACAACCAGGAGCCGCTTTTTCTGATGAAGTGACAGTGCAAACGCACGTCAAGGCGTCCCTTTTGCAACAGGGCGAGATGGTGAAGACCTTGCACCATCCTGCACCTTTCAGTCCTGTGGATCTGGTGAAGAGCTGGGGCTGCAGCCAGGAAGAGCACTCGGCCTTCCTCTGCAGCATCTGCTGGGCTTTCCCGTCTGACCTCCCCCCAAGTTACCGATCAACTAGAGTACTTACTTCAGCTTTGCTTTTTATTTATTTTTAACATTTCTTCATGTTACTAGTAACGCCAGCCAGTATTAAAGTAAAAGCTAAGAATATAATGGGAAATAATAAGAGCTTTTGATTGAGTTAAACTGGAGATCCAGGGATGCATTAAATAATAGGTTTGCTTTTGGTCCAAAGAAAACATTTTATATAAAGGCAAATAAAACATACATTTTTGACCTTTGACAAAATTCTATGGCAAATTAAAGAAGTTTTTGCAAATTGAATGTTTTTGACAGTTATAGAAGAACTATAGAAAAAATATGGATGCTTTTGTAAAAGAAATGTCTAATGCTCTAGGAAACAAATTTCTCACCAGAAAGCATCTATTTGTATATATTTTACATAGGAGACTATTGAAGAAAGGTGTTTGCTATATAGTACATCTCTTTCCATAGGCAACCTTCACCTGAATATTTCTGTGACTCAGTTGCTTGTGGGTATGGTATAGACCCATTCTTGTCACTGCGATATAAAGATGAGCTGTTTATCTGAACGTGCTGATATCCTGAGCACGGCCAAGTGTTCCGTGTTGCTGTAGGTGAAGCTGTGAACCCCGAGGTAGTATTTGTTCTGACGCGCGTTAGACCGCTTGTGCTGCCGAGTGAGAACCAGCTCCTCTCAGTTTGAACATACACTTTATGGCTTGGAGCACTGGCAACTCCTGCAAACGGCCCTTGCAAAGAAGGGCACCAAGAACTGCGTGGTTTTTCATGGAGACACAGAGCATACCTAATAGTTACACCAATTAATGTCATGGAAATTTTATTATTATTATGATTCAAAAATACTATTTGAGAGAGCCTGAAAACATTCTTAAGCCTGCTTACCTAAATCCTGTTATTGGAATAGGTATTTCTATTATCCATCTATTGCTCTTTGTAACCATTACTCAAAGGATTTTCATTTATAATTTGAAGTACTTGATTTGCACTATTAAAAGGAGGTAGTAAAATACAATTCACACATACCTTGAAAAATTAAGTGAAGTAGCCTTAGTACACGATTTCCTGCATATTGTGTATTTTTCAAACACGCATTAGTGCCTAAAAAGTTTATTCCAGTTATTGTGATACTCAGGGCCTTGCTTACTCCATGTATACAGACACCGACGTCTCTGTAATTTTCCCAGTGTTGCCGCATTGTGCTGTTCTACACTGTCCTCCATTTTCACGGAAATGTTGTCCCATTAACTGTTACTCTTTGCTCAAATTAAAGCTGATGATTCCAGCGTGCAGAGCGTAACTGGTTTTTGCCGCGGGCCCTCCCGCGCTTCTCGGGCGCGCGGGGCAGCGCCGCGGGCTGGGAGCAGCACGCGGGCACCCCGGGATGGCCCCGAGCGCACGGCCACGGGCGCAGCCAGCGCGGCACCTCCCAGGAGGAGAACGGGAGCCTCCGACAGGGCCCGCGCGTCCAGGAGCACAGCGTGTTCGCCCAGGTGGTCTGAGCACAGCAGGCTGGGGGAGCCCGAGCGGCCCCTTCCTGCACACACCTCAGGTCGTCACCGCCTGCACCGTCCAATTAAGGCAGTGGCCAAATGCAAATGCCAGATCAAAGAGAGGAAATCGAAACCGCGGAGGCCACCGCGGGACTTAGTCTGCGCTCCGCAGTTGCACCAGATCAGTCAAGCCTACGTGCCAGCCTCAGCTTTAACGTAAAAGCAGGAAACCTCAAACCGTATCCTCGAAATCATACACGCACTGCTGCATCTACAGGGATGCAAAACTAGTTTTGCATCTAGAAACACCTGAAGTCTAGAGAACCAGACTTCTCTAGCCCAGCAGCGACAGCTACCCGTTTGAAAACAGCTGATGAAAAACCCAGCTCCAAATACAGGAAATGAAAGTGCAGATTTGCCATCTAGTAGGCTTCACACTACTTACAAGAAAAAATCATTAAATATTTTAAACCCAAACATCCTTTAAGGGCAACACTCCCAAGGTAAACTTATCCTAATTTTTTAGGATTTCTACCAAAAAATAACCCCTCATTTTGAACTTTACAGAGTGATGCTTACACAATACTGTGTGTCCACTAATACCCGACCATGAAGACACACCGTTAGCTTTCTCCACTGGCTAAGGCTTCTGGTACCTGCTGATCTGCCCTATACTTGAACAGTAGCTACAGAATAAAAATATTCAAAAAAGTACACTTAGAGAGAAATTAAAGTTCTAATGATTATTCTTAACAAGAAAAAAAAATATACAATTTATGCAAGGTTGACAATAACATGAACAAAAACACAGCAACTCCCAACATCTTAATATTTAATATCTTAATACTACTAAATCCCTGACAAATTAAAGAGAGGCTCTCTGTTTAGGTTTCAAATACTATTTTGAAAAGGACTCAAGAAAATTAATTTGATAGTAAACTTCTCATCCATGCTTTAAGTAGTTGAAACCATGTTTTTTTTCTTTGCCTTATATTTAAAGACAATGCGAAATGCATAGGAAAGCCTTTAACCTTTCATGTTATTACTAGACTAGAAATGTTGAATAGGAAAGGAGATTCTTTCTTTAAGCATTAAGCAATAAAAACAAAATCCAACTACTCACTCGGATGTAAGCGCTCTGAATTTCTACTAATTCTTCGCCAAGTGGAACAACAATTTTTTCAACACGCCGTTCATGAGAATAAGGCTGAATCTCTGGAGAGTCCTCAGAGCACAGCTCTATCTTCGCAATGAGCAGGTTGGAAACAACCTGCTGCACGGCCTGTTGGAGAAGTCAGAAGAAAAGATCCCATTTGCTTGTTGTCACTCCAATAATGGAAGTCAATAGCACATGAAAGTAACTATTTCCATATTTTAATAGGCCTTGAATGTTACAGTAAGAAGGTATTCACTCACTATAAAGATGGATGAAAAATGAAAGACTCTCCAATTAAGAACCTCAAGTAGCAGGTAAATAACCTATATGACCAATTTGTGAATGGAAACACCCTGTCATTGCCATCTCGCTGGAGTGGCAGGCCTGGCTGTGCTGGCAGGTCTCGGGAGACGTCCCCAGAGCCGGGTGGCTGACACTAACCCCGCGGCAGCCGAGAACTCCTGCAGCTGCAGGACACGTGGAGCTGACGCTCCGCAGCCTAAACGTGCTCTGCGTGCACGATGACAGAGCCCTGCCGCCGCCACACCGCTCCGGGAGCGCGCCACCCAGGTCCTGCTGTTTGGGACCAAGAAAAACTAACACAACTCTTCAGGGTTCCCTATTTAGCTCCTCTTTAATATTATAATTCTGAGCAGTAAACAATTCACACAGCACTTGTTTTTCTCAAGCATTCACATCTTGAAAACTACATATAAAAACCAGCTCCATAGCTTTGCCTGGGAGTTTGGATGTTCAGCTGCCTTAGACTGCAAGCTCCAGCCACACTGATATTTAACCAATAAACCATAAGAAAGCCATTTAGCACTGAGAATAAATTCTTCAGCATCTTCCACATCATTCCGATTTTTTATTATTGGCTTCTGCTAACATCATTCCTCCAGCCTCGCAGCTGGGCCTACCTTGGCATCGCTGCCTGGCGTGGCGCTCAGGGCCAAGATCCGAAACTGGTTCGTGTATTTGCTTAGCTCCTTCACGACCTAAGAGGAGAAAGGTTCATATTAAGACCCTTACAGGAGATTATTTGCAGATACAAGCTATACTGGTGAAAATAACAACTGAGGGGTAAAGCCTCAACAAAGTAACCTAAAAGTACATCTAAATTCAAATGGAAACCAGAAATTCCTCAGCTGATAATATTTTTATCCGAGAACATTTCATTGGGATTATACTAGCCCAATTCCACTCAACAGAGGGAATTTGAGAAGTCCTATGAAATGATTTTTCATTTGATTTATTTGAGAAGTCCGATGAAATGATTTTTCATTTGATTTAACAAGAAGATTAACAGCATGTTAATCCAGATAAGATGCAAAAAGAAATTCAAAGAACTGCTCTAAAAATAAATAAATAAATAAATAAATAAAGTAATTGGAGATGACTAGTTCCATCCAACCGGAACCCAGATTAGATCAAAGTTGCTGTGAGGAGAGGAAAAAAAAAATCATCATTCACCCAAGTCTCACTCAAGTTTTTCACAGTCATTAGGGAGACATTTGAACAGTGCATAGCTCCCACCTGCAACCCTCCACAAGAGCAAAACTGTGACAGTCCTGTTAATTGCTGACCACTCAGGCACTAACCAAAGTGCCCCCTTCTTCATTCTGCTGCACAGCTCAGCCCTGCCAGCGCTCCCAGGGAGCAGAACCGGAGCTTCTACCGACCGCCTGCGCTCCCTGCGCGGGGGAGGAAACCAGCAAAACAACCGCAAGTAGCAGCAAAAATAAAAGCAGTGGGAAAACAAATGAATGGGGCCTACAGAAGACAGAGGAAGCCAATTTACGCTCATAGAAAAGGCAAGAAGTCTGTCAGTATCAAGCTACAGGGACTGCCAAGAGCCGATGAAAGATTTTTTTCCTCTGTAACATAAATCTTGGTTCTATGTCACACAGTGATTAAGAGTAACAGCAAAAAAAGAAATGTTTAGCAATATCAGAAATGTTTTTACAGCATTATGAAAAAAATAAGTTTTTGAAAAAGAACTTATTATGTGTTCTGAAAAGCACCAAGATAGGAAAAGACTGATGACGAAGCAGCATGTACTGCTTTAATTTAGCAAGCAACCTGAGTTAGGCAAGCACTAAATAACACATACTGGCATTTAAAGATGTAGTAAGCAACCATCTATAAACCACAGACGTTCGATCACTTTCTTTAATACACAAAACAGTGGCTTTTTCTTGAGGCACACACTGTCAGGAGGAGGTTAAGCCAAGACACTGTAACACCCTATGTCCCAGTCGAGACAAAGGTTTGCGTTAAAGGGAAATTTGGGATTCATTTCACTCAGGATGAAGAACGTGCACTGCCAAGCTAAGGAGCCAAAGTGCAAGGTGGCTAGAGCTGCAGTGCCCTTCGGCCTGCCCTGCCACCCCGCGCCGCGGCCGGCGCGCGTCCCGCGGCGTCACCTGGCAGTAGGCGTGATTGCCCAGGGCTTTGTGGGCTTCGTCCACGACCAAACACTTGATGTCCACAGCAGGACAGGTTCCCCGGGAGAGGTCGTTCACCATGACCTGCGGCGTGAGGAAGAAGACTCTCTTGGCAGCCCAGAGCTCCTTCCGATTGAGGACCTGGGTTCCCCCTGCAAACACGACAGGCAGCATTAGCAATGTGCTCAAGAATAAGCAAAGCAGGTAAAAAAAGGAAAGGAGCTAGGAGGGACCCACACAGGGCTGGCTGGGCAGCGTTTGTACATGAGACTATTGTAATAGTCTATTAATAACTAATGCCGTTATCATTTTTTTGGGGGGGGGATTGACTGCAACGAACAGCAAGATCTGTTTTGTAACAGACTAGTAAACGCAGAGCTAGGAACATCAGGACGTCGCCCTGTCCTCCCCGGGCACGGCGCCGCGCCGAGCACCTCCCGCGAGGGCTCGCGTTCAGGACGCGGCTACAGGGGCGGCCGCAGCGCAGCGAGCGGCACCC